AGCTCATGATCTTCATCAACAGTAGCAAATGAAGAGTCGTTGAAAATTCGTGCAGTTGATGCATCAATTTCACTATTAACAGAAGTATTCGTTTTTTCATCCAATATTGCTTCATATTCTTCTATTTGTTGTTTGTAATTTGATCCCGATTCTGACACCAATTTTGTGAATTCTTTAGTTTCGAAATCACAATTCATGTTCAAACAAAACACATTTGATAAAACATGAACACATCTATAATATAGTTAGTTCATCTATTAATACAACATCTATAACATCGTATATCAATTATCACGACATCTATAACATGACATCTATAACATCTTACATCTATTAATACAACATATATATCATCTTACACATCTCCTCTATTAACTATTATTAACATGACATCTATAACATCATACATCTATTAATACAACATCTATATCATCTTACATCTCCTCTCAAACAAAGTGGACGAGAGTTCTATCAATTTCACTTGTGCAGTGAACAGCTAAAATTTAGACAGTGCGCGAGGAAAAATATTAAGCTATGGATTTAAAATCCCACATATATATATTAATATATCAGATGTCATGAATAATCAGACAGGTAAACTTCTACATAAATTAAAAAATAAAAATGTTCAAAATACAAAAACATTTATTGAATATGAATTTACATATTTTGAAGTTTTTGTTATGTAAATTCTTCTAAAATTGTTTGAAAATCTAACTTCCTTGCTATATATCCACCACTGGCCGGTACGGTTGCGCAACTAGTTGCGCGTGCATATACCTGCATAGTAGTTTACATATGTAGTGCAAAATCTGTGTAATATAATATAGGACTATCCCAATTAAATTCAATACATTTGACATGAACATTTAGGGGTATCAGTTTTCTACATTATAAAGTATATAATAATAAACACATTAATAAATCTCATCCATCAATGCGAACTTAAAATAAATATATTTTTAATTATTTGAATAATTTATAATTTATCCATTATCGTCAAAAGCAAATTTGCTTTAAATTTCGAAATATTTAATTTTTTTTTTTTTTTTTTTTTTTTTTTTTTTTATGTTCATTTTGATGGTAACGCGGGGCCGTTTTAAATGCGGGGCCCAATCGCCCTTTATCCGGCCCTGCTTTTAGCAATAGCTTTTATATGTCCAGAATTATCATGATGATTCAAGAGGTGGTTTTTAGAATTTTGAGTGATGAGTATGAACTTCGTTATCTCTGTCTAGATTATCAGGACAATTCGAGAGATGGTTTCAAGAACTTTGAATGACATGCATGAACATCGTTATCTATGTCCGAAATTATCGGAACAATTCGAGAGATAGTTTCAAGACTTTTTAGTGGTGCACAATGTACTGATTACTAAATAATTCTGAGAGAATCCGTTGGATTTCACGGTGAAATACTGTATCACTCAGGGCTATCATGAGAGATGCTGATTATTCAATTACCATTGAAATTGCAATCATATTCTTTTTTTTTTTTTGGTAAATTCTTCTATATCATCAGTAAAAAATTAAGTTATTCCGAAGTTTTGGAAAAAAATGTTTAACCGTTTCTTAGGTTAGGATGCAAACATTCAAATAATCTCTGTATGTTTGTTCTTATGTTAATTATGTGGAGAAACAAAATTACTTTTTAGCATAAATTGGCCTAAACAAGTTAATTGATTATTTTTAAATAAATATTCTTTCTCGAATAACAGTTTATCTGCAGTGCACTTTGACTTATATCATTTAATTTATTCTTTCTAAAAGACTACTCATGAGTTAAAAAAAAAAAAAAAAAACACTCTATTTTCTTTTAAATATTGATTTGTAATTTACTCATATAATACTTTTTTACATAATGTAGACCAATGAATATGCTTCCAATTCATTTTAATTGTACTAAAACAAAACAGCAATAATTATAAATGAAGAAGAATGAAGGAAATCGGAAGAAAATATTTGGTATCTTTATATGCAGAAAAAAACACTCATTTGCCCAGTACAACAGTTACAAATTTTTATTTTCATGGGACATAACTTTTGTAAATGCAAAACAGTAGATATAAGACACCTTTATTCATATTTATACATGATGCTATTAATCACATTGTAGAGTTCCTCTTATTCTGCTAAAGTAAATGTTGAGGAATTCAAATAACAGAAGTCTTAGACTCAAGAAGGGTTAACTACTTTTTATTTCACTCAAAATAAGATGAAGAATCGGCCTCTTTCTTCTTATAAAATAACAAAGCCTCCACTTGGGCTTAAACTAAAAAATAAGAAATAAGGGAACTACTCTGATATGCGCCCTCAAGTCGCCAAATTTCTCGCCAAACATTTTTGGCAAGAAACTCCATGCTGCCATATTGCTATTTAATTTTTTGTCTACATTTCGAACTTTAAGCCTAAAATGTCTCCAAAAACACGGTTTTCGCAAATGCAAAAACCACGTTTTGAACACACAATTTAAGTTAAAAATCCGGAACGATAACAAAAAATTTAGATAGCAAAACTGTAAAGTTTCTAACCAAAATTACTTGACAAGAGTCCATGTACACAGCGATATGTTTTAACTTAAAATACCATCTATGAATGGCACAATCTAGGCAACGAATGAATCTACAAACTACGCACACCTCGCTTTAATAAATTAACATAACAACAATAAATTTCAAAGAATACCATGTACACAGCATCATGTTTAAACTTAAAAAAACATGTACATAGGTTGCCTAAATTGCACAATGTACAAACATGTTCGTCCTGTTTCAACTTAAAAAAACATCTACGAATTGCACGATTTAGGAAACAAACGAATACTATATACGCACACCTCACTGTAATAAATTAACATAACGATAAATTTCAAAGAATACCATGTATACTGCGTTCTGTTTCAACTTTAAAAAACATCTACGAATTGCACAATTTAGACGGTATGCACTAATCAACAAAATAACTAAAATTTCAAACAATTAAAAAAAAACAATAACAACAGAAATTCATACTAAAAAAACAATAAACATAACATTCTACAAAATAAGAACAGGAATAAAATAAAATGCACTTGCCATGAATCAATGCTTTTTCGAACAGCAGAAATACCAATTTCATACCGCCTTTAACGTGCCACCACATAATCACTATCGTATTTATATGACAGCCAGACGCACTATCCAGAAAATTCATACTGTGGTTCACAAATAAATAAAATACAGTCAAAAGTCGTTAATCCTGACTTGTCGGGACTTCGGCGATTCCGGATTATCGATTTTTCCGGATTATAGATCATCAGTTTAAATCGCATAAGATGGCATGCAGAAATTCTAAAATTAAAAATATCAAACCGTAATTTATGAAATAAAGAACAATTATGATCTAAAGGGTATCAAAATTTACAAAAAAAAAGCTTAATATTTATTTGTTTACTTTATTAAACATTTCTTTCAATGTAAGTTGTTTAAGTTGCTTCATTTTATGTGATAATACTTTCTCTTTAATTCTATAAACAGACATAATTTTTGTTCAGTTACAAAGTTCCGCTGTTCAAGTCCCGTTAATTGCTGTGCCGAGAATACCCGACTAACTTGTCAATCGAGTTTTTTCGTTTTCACTAACCTCTCTGTCACATTCTTCATGTCTTCTTTATCCATTTTTTGCAGCAATTCCACTTTTTGTTTGATGGACATCGAAAACATATTTCGTTTTGTACGATCCTTTGGGAGCTCCAGATTCGGAAATTCTATTTGACATAACCGAAAGTTCAAGTTTACTTTTATAGTATTGCTCTTACAGTCTGCAAAAAATAATAAGCCGGATCCAATTCGAAAATTAAAGAACAACGCAATCATCAACATTAACTGAAATAGATAATTAGATAATTTTAGCTTATACCGTTCGTTATACATAAAACGCGCACGCGAAAACGCATTCTGCGCTTGCGCACGCGCAAATGCGCATTCGTAAAGTCTTATGCGCAAGCGTAAATGCCTATGCCCATGTGTCAACGCGGCGCATGCGCAGAAAGTTTTTAGCTTTGAGGTCCAGATTATAGATCATTCCGGATTATGGGTGTCCTAATTAACGACTGTAACAAATAATCGCAAATCCCTACTTCTATCATGCATAGCCACTAAAAATAAATCTCCCAGACCTTCTTTCCACACCTCAAAATACCCATTGCCCCTCAACAGGATGGCCACGACGATAATTCCTTTTGCCGAACTTCAATTCAACAACTTTCACCATTTTATCTTTTCCCCCTAGCTTCTCAGACACAAAGCATGACGCGAACCAACGCAATCGTGCCAAAAACCAGCGCAGAGAACACATATCGCCACATTTAGTGAAATTAGGGCGTATATCAGAGTTGTACCAAAATAAGAACTAACTGTGACTGAGAGATTTAGCTGAAGCTAACACAAATCTAATGTAGTTGGCCTTTAATTTAAATTAGCTGGCGAATATCAAAATACATGTAATATATGGGTACTTAGCAAATGCAAATGTGCACTACTCGGTATTCCTAGTTCTCTCCCACAAAGTAAGTTGAACCTTACTTTAAGTACTTATTTGCATTCAGCACGATTCTAGAAACTCATTCTGGTAGGAAGTTGTAAGTTGAAACAAGAAGGGATAGGAAAGAACAATTACACTAAAATAGCTGTTATAAACTTAAAATATATCTTACAACATATTCGTTAATTTGCTTCAAAAGTTTCTTTAAATTCAAAACCTATACCTTTATTTTTGAAACAATATAAATTTGGACTTCTGGCTCTTGAACATTCATAAATCCTATCATGCGGCTCCCATAATCTTGAAGTTTTGCCATCCTGTGCTATACATTTAACAGTTGCAGCAATATCTTTTGATTAGTTATTTAGAGAGGAATGGAATTTCTTTTTTCATCCTGCATAATAAAACCTAAGTATGCATTTGCAGAAATTTTTAATTAACTGTTGTTTCTGCATTTAAATGTATTTTTTTTTATTTTAGTAATGAAGAGTAATTTAGATGATGATTTTATAAAGTACAGGATGTCTAATGCTTTGATGTCAACAAACACTAATTTTAATGGTAAGTATGTCAAACTTAAAATGTTAAGCATTGCTCTTACAATGTACTTTTTAAAAAACATTGTTGCTATATTTGTGGTATTCCCCCATTAAATAGAAATTAATGTCTTACTAAAATTAATTGTTGAAATATGCGCTGTCTTTCACTATTTTTCATAAGAAGAGTTTGAAATTTCAAAAGCATTGCTTTTGTTGAAAGCTGCCATTTGTTACTGAAAGTTTCTAAAAGCTTGAGTAGTGGCTTTCATTTCTGCCTTTGATAATATCTCTGTTTCTGAGTGTATAATTCACATATTTATGTGTGCGTGTTAATCCAAATAAAACTTTTTTGCAATTCCCCCATTAAATAGAAATTAATGTCCTACTAAAATTAATTGTTCAAATATGTTCAAATAGTTCATTATCACTATTTTTCATAAGAAGAGTTTGAAATTTCAAAAGCATTGCCTGTGTTGATAGCTGCGATTTGTTACTGAAAGATTCTAAAAGCATGAGTGGTGGCTTTGATTTCTGCCTATGATAATATCTCTGTTTCTGAATGTATAATTCACATATTTATGTGTGCATGTTAATCCAAATAAAAATTTTTTGCATGACAAGTATTCAAAATGTACATTTGCAAGTTCTTAATACTTTTAATTTCTTTTCAAGTTATAAAAAATTTACTTTGTTTTTTAACCTGTGCATGTCTAGATGTATTACAAATAGTTTTTTAATTGTGTTATGTTTTTTAGGTATTTATCTGCAGCAACTGCATGAATTGAAAGTAGTGTAAATAATTTTTTATCTTTAGTATATTATCTTTATTTTCAGATTATGGATATTACTTTTTTGTAAATTCCTCTGTGACTGAAAATGCAACGCATTGTTTTGTTGATAAGAAAAATTATAATTATGAAGAACCATTTGATGAGTATTATTGGTAAGTGATTTATATTTTAATTTGTGTATTGGTGGGTTTATATAGATAATTTTCTTGAGTATATCTATATGCATGCGTGCTTAGTTTGAAAAAGATCTCGATTTTATTCATTTCACATATCTCTGCTTATGTTGTACCATACCTTTTTACTAATTCTATAGGTTAAAATGTTTATATGATATACATATATGTATGTATTACTACAATATATATATGTCAAAAAGTATGTCTTTAGATTACATTAAGCTGCCCAGCCAGTATAATGGTTAGTGACCCTGACTGCTGTAGTGATGGACCTGGGTTCAAATCCTTGGTATGTCCCTTCATAGAAGGCAAACAGCAGCCACCTATTAGGTGCGTACTTATTGAAATGGCCACCATTTCCAGCCCTTGTAGTGGTGCAAGCCTAATAGCTATTACATAAAGTGCCCGTCCATTAACCTCTTAACTGGTCAATTTTTTACCAGAAATGTCCATAAAAAAGCATATTTTTTATTGCATATAACTGAATTCCAAACTTGTTATAAAAGAAAAAAAAGAAAGAATTTTTTAAAATTTTCATAATTAATGAATTTAAACATTTTTTAAATTTTATGTATTTCTAACATTTATGTCCCTAAATGTTTGCTTTTTGCAATCAGAGGACATGCAATGAAGTCTGCATTACAGATCTCACGAACAATTATCTAAAAAAAAAAAAAAAAAAAAAAAACCTTACCGTATATTAAAAATTTACATTTACGGCTGGAATACCGATAAAATTAAACTGAGGACACGGAGAAGGTGGATTTTCCACATCAGTTTCGATAAAATTTCTAGCAGAAATCAAATCTTCATCGGAGCTGAACTCACTACATGAGCCAGCTGAAGAATAATCCAGAATATTACAAGACGGTTCTGAATTCCTATCTGAATCATCAGAAAATCTAACAATAAAGTAATAACATCAATTATATCATCTATAACCGAGATGCTTTGAATTCACAACCAGAAAACCATACAACAAAAATATCAAGAACAAACAATGCCAAGTATTTCTGCTTTTAATAACAAAGGAAAAAACCAGTTTGAATACTTTACAATGACATGGACAAGCTGCACTATCTGTTAAAATATGTTAATACTAAAGACTCTTGGTAAATTAAAAATATGGGCAAATCAAAACAAGAAAGGAGAAAATATCGTTGCACGGACAAATCAGATGTGGCCAAATATTAGTAACCCATACATTGTACAGGCAAACCTGTTAAGGAAGAAAACAGGATGAAAGAGCACCAAAAAAAAAAAAATACAATTATGCCATCAGTAGTAAGAACAGACAGCATGTAGACCTGGCAGTAGCAAAATTCTTTTACATTTGTATTATTCCATTTTATGTTAATGAGCAACCATCCTTTTCTCAGTATACAGTGATTTGATGTCATAAACAGTGCCTAAACATAAAAGAAAGTCAGCAGTAAAAGAAACACTGTGATTCGATAGCTGGGGTATTATTTATAGTTACCTGGTTGGGGCTAATACTGTTAATGCTAGTATTGAAAGCATTTTTTTTTAATTCTATAAATATAGGTACTAAGGAAATTTATTATGCATAAATAGGCAAGACAGACATTGCAGAAAAGTGTGTAAGTGTAGAGTGAATGTTCATTTAACAGAAATCAGCATAAAATGGAATAGATAAGAAATTAATTTCAAAAATGCTGCCCCCTTACTTCTTTACCACTTAAAGAGTGTTCTTTGAATTTAAGGCTTATTATAGTATTAGGCATGAAAAAATAACCAAATGTCATAAAGCCATAAATATTAAACAGTGCTAGGTGGAGCAGTCTGGTAGATTGCTTAGAATCATTCATAAGAAATTGTCTATTATTCATAAAATACTTGAAAATAAGGAAAATGATATGGATCACAAATGTCTGGTTGAAGTCATAAAAATAACATTATTATTAAAAAAGTAAAATACGTGTTGCAGCTGTTGAAACCTAATGTTGTTGCACTAGACTAAACCTAATGAACAGCAGTGGATGGCGTGCTGCAGCTTTTGTTGTCTTTGATGAAATCTCACACTTTCTGCATGCAGAAAGCATAATATGGCTCACATAAAGACATCATGCATGTCATCTTTCCTTCTCATTTTAGGATTTTGTTGCCATTCCTAGGCACAATATGACTTTCTGCAATTCTTTCTCTTTTTCTGGTTTTAGAAAAAACAGATAACTTTGTGTAAGAGTAAACAACAGTGTAAAAAAACAAGAAATGTGCATATCTTGCTTGGTAAGAGAAGATGTAAAAAAAAAAAAAAATGTGACACTGGATGTGCTGTTATAATAAAGATACCAAAACAAACATTTTTCTTTAAAGTTGGCAGCAAGTTTGTAAATGTCTACAGTGAGTCTGTGACTTTTTTGGGAAGGGTGTGCATATAATCAGAAAGCATCCATCTGCGTTTTTCAGTGAGCAGCAAGAAAGTGCTAGGATATTTCTTCATTGCATTAAGTCGTAGTTTATGCCTTACTTAGCGTTTCAAGCAAAATCAGTTGTTTTGCTTATGCTTGCTTCTCTACTGCAAGCTTTCAAATAGCATTAGATTCTACATGGTTGTCTACTTTCAGGAAAACATTTGCAAATGAAGTTTTCTTAACTCTTGTTTGCACTATAATCACTTTTTCCTACAAGTACTGCCACACTTGAAAGAATGCCCTCTAGATTTACTCTTATTCACAATATATTGAGGAATTACTCTTGCATTTGAAACAAAGGTTAAATTACTTCTGCATAGGGTAAAGATCACACTGAACTTGGAGGATGATATGTAACCTTGAACTCTTGTCAAGCAACTTTTTTAATAATAGTGTGAACAATTAGCTGAACTTGTTTAATTTTAAAATATATATTCCTCTTTACTACTCTTCAGGAATTTCTGCAAGTTACTACTATTTGTTGGTTTAACTGGTTTGGCAAAGCCTTGCTAGCCCTGACTGGAAGTTTCTGGGCTGTATTTCTGCTGAGAAATTACCAGCCCTGCTATTCCCCACCTTTATTTAGGGTAGTGTAAACAGCCTGGCCATGGAATCTGAATATAGGGGAGGACAGTTCTGTGGATCTCATTATAGCAGAAACAGAGCAAATTAAATTCACTTACTGTTCTATTTGTGTAAATGCATTTCTATGCTTACTGTTGCCCTGATTGTTGCTTATTTTATTTATTTATTCTGTGCTATTTCAGTAAACTGCTGCGTTAGATGTGGTTATGTCATTAATATACTTTGTGCACCAAATAATCATATTCCACAAAATTAAAATTCTATGGAAAAAAATGTGTTAAATATAGTACAAAGTAAGAAAGAATGTGTAATTTGATCAAACCGAAATATTGTTTTAATGAAAAGAGAGACATGAAACAAAAACTGAAATTGAAAGAAAATTGAAAGGATTTTCATTACTGCTTAATGATTAGGTACATGATACAGTTACTTAAAACGAGTGCAGTGCTTTTCAATGTTTCTTATAAAGTATCCTCTTCTTCCTCCATTTGAGTCAATCTCCGATGCAAAATCATCTAGTTCCTGTGTCCTTTTTTAATAACTCGTTGAAGTTAAAGGTGCCTTATTTTCTTCACAATTGCTGCTTTCTCTGTTAGTTTGTGTTACAGCAGCGGTTGAAAAACCCTTCCTACAACAAGCTTTCTTGCTCCATGCCCCTCTTTCACCATTGTTAAATCATCTCCCGTTTTTTCCAAAACTTCAAAAGTACCTAAATACATTTATTAAGATTTAGATTATTTTCTAATATTTTTTATAAATTGAACAAAAAAATATAGAAAGTACTTGTAATTACCAAAATTATAAAAGTAAAAGTATTTTTCATAAACTAAAACTAAATATTTAACAGCTAAATAAAAGGTTGATGCTTTCCTTCTGAAATTTTTCCCTAGGGGGAATTCCCTTAGTTGAAAACTCCTATGTTATTAGATAATCTAGTTCTTCATTTGTCATTTCTTTAACTTCTTCGTCTTCTGTTGCTTTTTATGAATTGCTTTTGTGATTTGTTTGATTTCTTTGGATTTAATTTTAAATTTTTAGTCAATAAAATTCCTTTAAAATAGTTAACAACTGGCTAGAGCTGATGCTTACAAGAATTCAATGTAGATGAATTCACTTGCTGCCATGTGAGATCAATCATTTCTTAGTGGCTTATGTCAAATTGTTTCCAAAATGCACTTAGCACGTCCTGCTTTCTTTGCAGAAATATAAACATGTTTGAAATAATTCGCTTTGAATGTTTTTATATCCATTGGTTGGATTAACCCTCTGGCCATTATGACCGGCTTTATCCAGTCATCGGAAGTTTGGCTACTTGGCATATATTAATTAGCTTATAATTTAAGATATTTTGCTTTTTTGATGTACAGAGAGCTGACTACTAAAAAGTTCATGCAGATTCCGTTGGATGCCACACTGAAATACTGTATCAGTCGGGGCTGTCATGAGAAACACTGATTATTCAAATACCATTGAAATTTGAATCGTTCTTTTTTTTGGTGATTTCTTCTGTACTGGGCATCAGTAAAAGTAGTTAATCCAAAGTTTTTGGGGAAAATGTTTAACGATTTCTTAGGTTATGACACAAAAATTCTAATGATCTCAGTATGTTGGACCTTATGTTAATTGTGTGGAGAAACAAAATTACTTTTTAATGAAAAACCTAAACAAGTTAATTACTAATTTTTAGATATATATTTTCCCACGAATAATGGTTTCTATGCAGCGCATGTTAATGTGTATCATTTAATTTATCTTAGCTGAAAGATTGCTTGAGTGTTTAAAAAAAAAAAAAAAAAACTCTTCTTTTAAGTAACATGTAATTTACTGAAATAGCATTTTTTATTGTATTTGTAGACCAATGATTATGCTTCTGCTTTGTTTTACTAAATAATAAAAATACAAATAAAACAACAATAATTATAAACTTATGAGGTATAATGGAAATCGCAAGAAAAT